CACTGGTCCAGACACCGATCCGTTTGGGGGTTGGTTACTCCCCCTTGCATTCCTCCACGCCTTTTGCTAATTCCTGCATCTGTCCATCCCTTCGCCCACCGATCCTTTTGTTTTCCACTCATCTGTTTGTTCATTTGTGCCTTCCCTTAACGCGCATTGGCCCAGTGCGCTTTCGAGGGCTCCACACTGAGTGCTCACTCAGAACGCACATACCCACGTGATAACCCCAGCCAGGTGAGCATTGGTGCCCCCATTTTAAAAAGGAGGGCACTGAGGTTTTGCTCCCAGTCACTGCTTCATGTCTCCCAAAGCTCTAGGCGATCCCCGAGAGCCAGGCTCCACGGGACCCCGCGTGAAACAGAGAGAAGGCAAGGTCCGGGCTGCAGGACTTCTCAGAGGCTTTAGCCTGCTCTGCGCCTCGGGACTACAGTGGAGGGATTGTTTTGCTGGGTTCACTTGGCACACCTGTGGGAAGGCTGTGCGCTCGACTGCTCCTCAACCGTGGGCAGGTCCCTTCAGCCTCCCTACGTCCCGGGGGGGCCCCATCTCGAAAACGAAGGTGCCGCTAACCCATGACCCACCCGCCCCCTCACACAGAGCTGCAGGGAGGATTCGGCAAGAACAGCCACAGAGCCCAGGGTCTGGGTTGGGCTCCAGGGCCGGGAGGCAGACAGACTTCATTTCAAGGCCCAGCTGCCCAGCTTGCCAGCTCTGTGACTGTGGCCAGGTGACTCAACAGCCCTGGCTTCGGCTTTCTCATCTCCAAAATGGGCACCAGCAAAGCCCAGCTGATTCCTTGGCCCCTTCCTGAGGCGGTCCGACAGGCATCTCAGACTCAGCTCTGCTGGAGCGGGGCTCTGATCTCTCCCCGCCCTGCATCTGCTCCCCACGAAGTGCTCCTCCTGGCAGCTGCCGACAGCGCTGTGCTCCCGGCCGCCCCCGAACGCGGACTCATCCCTGACTTATCTCGCACCTCACATCCAGGAAAGCCAGTCACCTCCTCCGCCTTCAGACAAACCCCACACCCGGCCACCTCTCCTCCCTGCTTTGATTCTACCAGGTCTAGACCGTTGGGTCTCTCCTGCCTGACTGGTGCAGCAGACTCACCACTGGTCTCTGCTTCTCCCTTTGCCATCTGCAGTCTGTTCCCCCACATGGCAGCCAGCGGGATCTTGTTCAGTGCAAATCGGATTACATCTCTCTCCTGCTCAAAATCCTCTCAGGGCTCCCCCCCACCCTCGCTTGGAGTAAAAGCCAAAGTCATCGCCATGACCCGCAAAGTCCCACGTTGTCTACAAAGCTCCTACCAAGCCCCGTGAGGCCACGACGTCCCGTCTTCCTCTCTGACGTATCACCCACCACCTCCCTCTCTCTCACTCCACTCCAGCTACCCTGGCCTCCTTGTCATTCCCCCAGGGCCCCGAGCGCTATCCGGCCCCGGGGCTTTGTGTCTGCTGTTCCGTCCACCTGGAATCTGACTCAGTGCGTCCCAGGTGTTCTCACAGTTTCCTTCCTTTCAGGTCTCTGCTCGGATGTCACCTCTTCAGGAAGGCTTTCCCAGACCACCTTCCGAACACGTCTGGTTGCTTTCTTTCTCTTCCTAGTACTCGGCACTGCCTAATATCGTCTCTTCCCACTAGGCTGTCAGCCCAAGAGGTCAGGGATCTTAGTCGACTGCTTTGCTCACTGCTGTATCCCTGGCGAGCACTGAGCCTGGCAGGCAGTAGGCCCTCACAACATGGAGGGCATTTCCACCGCTAACGGGCGCAATTCCAAGGTGCCTGGCCCGGGGATCTACAACCAGATCGGCGGGGATCCCCCGTGGACCTTCCTGAGGACCCCCACGTCCCCCTGCCTTGTTCAGGCTTCCCTCTCCTGAGCTGTCCGAGGGATCCTCTATCAGAACCCAAGGGCTGTGGACTACCCCTGCCCGGTCAGACCCTGAGAGCTGGGGAAATCGAGGCACAGAGTTGTAGGCATTGACGTGAGGGTGATGTCCCTGGACGCCTGTATTGGTCAAGCCAATCATAGGAAAACCTCCCCCCCGGGGCCTCTCGGGCTGCCTCATTCTGATGCCTGATTTATCTTCTTAATCGAGCGCGTGCATATTGATTTTTTTTCCCCAGACAATGGTGTTCCTCTAGGACAGGCCTGAGAGGGGTTGTAGGAAACCTTTCCGGATCCTGCTCCTGCTCTGCTCCTGATTGAGGGCTCACGACAGATGATCTTCGGGTCTGATGGGCCTGAGGCACCACCGTTAGCCTCCTGGGAGGGTTGAGGCACCGCGCTGTAGCCCCTGGGACGGTAAAGGAAAGGATGGGAACTTGCTTTATTTAACCACCCCTGTGCGTCGTGACTTGAGCGGGGCAGGGTAGGGGCAGAGGTGGGAGGTGTAGAATTAAGTGGTTGAGAGAAACAACTCAGAAGTCTCACAGGCCTTTGCAGATCCTGGCTCCACACATAGCCTCAGTGTCCTCATCTGTGAAATGGGCGTATTAATACATGCGCCAAAGAATTACCGTAGGACAGAACAAGACAATGCCTGTCATAGGGGCTCAGCAGAGTGCTCGGCCACAGTAAGTGCTCGGCGAATGTTAACCGAGACGGCTGTTATTATTACATCACATGTTACCCCCATTCCCCCTCTCCCGGCCCTTGTTCCCTCGGTGAACTCCTATTCATCCAACAAAACCCTCCATGCGTCTACCTCCTCCCGGAAGCGCTTTTGTGTTTCAGCCGCTGGCACATGCAGCTGTACATCGCACACCTGTCCTTGCGCTGTCATTAATTCGTTTTTGTGCTTAATCTCCCTCGCCGGTTGATGACCCTCAGGAGGACAAGAACCAGGTCGGACCCACGCCTGTGTTCCCAGCGCCAGGCACAAAGCCCGGTGCAAAGGAGGCGTCTGCAACAGAAACAGGCAACCGACTTGGCACGAGTCAGGGAAAGAGGAGGAGAGAGGCTGGTTTTAACGGAGGGGGAGCGGAGGCTTCAGGAGCCAAAGCGCACCCGGGGTCCCCGGGGAAGTGGGGGCGGGGGGGACAGGGTTCCAGAGGCCAGTGTCGGCCAGCTCTGCAACAAAGGACTCCGACGGGCCCTCCCAGCAGGTCAGGACCAGCCAGCCCAGGCGTCCCTCTCTCCAGGGCTCTATTTACAAGGTATCGATTTTCCCGCCTGTTTACTGGTAGTTATTAAAGGCTGCGTCCCTGGAGTCCTTTTCAAACGAGATTGGAACCTGGAGAGCGGGAGTAATTAGGGCAGTTGCTGTCCTCCCCGCCGGGCCCTGCACCCTGCGGCACCCGCTGCAGCCCGCCCGCCCACCCGTCCACCTCGGGCTCCGGCTGGCCGCGGAGCAGGCCGAGGGGGGCCGGCTGGTTCCCCAGTGACCCGTCTGGGCCGCGATCTTCAGATTTCCAAGGGAGCCGGAGCGCTTCTCCTGCCCCGCGAGCGGCTTCGGCCTAGATTTTTGGCCAGAAGCACGGGTCTAAGATGGGGCCCGAGGTTCTCCAGCCTGGGAAACCGGGGGCCTGGAGGCATAGCGGGGCCTTCTCGAGCAGACCGCTCCCCTCTTGGGTCTCCAGGGCGCCCAGCTGTGCCGGCCACGAGGGTCTGTGCCCCCGTGGCAGTTTAGGAAACTGTGTCAAGCGTGGACCATTTCTAGGCCTGTTTCTGTGTGTCTGCTTTGGTTACCTGTCCCCCAAACTCCGCTTCGTTTCTTAACAATGTTCGATTGAGGGGCGCCTGGGGGACTCAGTCGGTTGAGCGTCTGATTTCGGCTCAGGTCATGATCTCGCATCCGTGGGTTTGAGCCCGGCTTCGGGCTCTGGGCTGACGGCTCAGAGCCTGGAGCCTGCTTCGGATTCTGCGTCTCCCTCTCTCTCTGGCCCTCCCCTGCTCACGCTCTATCTGTCTCTCTCTCTCTCAAAAAAAAAAAAATGAATAAACATTAAAAAAAGAAATTAAGGGGCGCCTGGGTGGCGCAGTCGGTTAAGCGTCCGACTTCAGCCAGGTCACGATCTCGCGGTCCGTGAGTTCGAGCCCCGCGTCGGGCTCTGGGCTGATGGCTCGGAGCCTGGAGCCTGTTTCCGATTCTGTGTCTCCCTCTCTCTCTCTGCCCCTCCCCCGTTCATGCTCTGTCTCTCTCTATCCCCAAAAAATAAATAAACGTTGGAAAAAAAAATTAAAAAAAGAAATTCAAAAAAGAATGTCTGGTTGAAAAATTGCAGTCTTGTTCCAGCTGAACTGAGGGGAAAAGGGGCCTTGGCCAAGTGTCAGCTGGAGGATTGTGGGAGCTAAACGCACTGAGACCGGGCGTGGGGGCGGCCACGGCCACTGCGGCCCATAAGCAGCTCATGCCTGGGACAGAGGCCACGAAAGAGATGGAAACACAGAGCAGAGCGAGAGACAAGGGGGAAAGAGACACAGAGAGACAGAGAGAGAGAGAGAGACACATGCCCAGAGAGACTGCCGCAGGGAGATCAAGATCGACACGGGAAATGCTGAGGCGGTGAGAAGCCGGGGGTGGGGGTGGGGGCAGAGAGGGAGGCCAAGGGTGAGAGGCGTAAAGAAACAAAACCCCACACCTAGACAGTGAGA